GGTATCTCTGCCCGCCTTTGCAATGAAAATTAGCTCACACAAAAGCAGGAGCAGGGTCTCAGGTGGTAAATCTTGCTTCCTCCTTGTAAAATTATGAAATTTTAATTTAAAAAAGCAACCAGAAGTTGGTATCGTCCATGTGTCGGGTATCCAGGAAGTTTCCAAGAACATTTCCCATTTCCTGTCTGCCCACTAACTGTTCTTTGAGATTCAGAGACTGATGGCTGGTATTCCCCTTCAAAGGGGTAGAGCAACATAGGGCAATGACTAGTTAAGGAGGAGCCAAGCTTGTTATATGCTGACTTTTCAAATACTTTAACTTACTGCCTGCATGGTCACCCTGTGTGCAAAGAAGTTTTAGAAGGCATTTTGTTTCTCCTTAAGGCATAATACTTGCAGCATCCCTGTTGGGATACTGCTGCTCTATTCACCTTCTTGTAGGCCCCAGGAGAGAAGTCTGACCTACCAGGTTTAATTGCTAAGTTTTGTTTGGCAGCCAGGTTCCAAGAAGTGGAGATCTCTCAACTTGCTGGTGCAGGGTTGGGGTCTTCTCTGGCTTGGAAGCAAGTGCTGCATGAACTTCAGCAGGCAGGCTCTGTAACCATGTGGAGGCATGATGATGGCGAAGGGTTTTGTTTTTACTAAGGCTGGCAAGAAAGGGTAAGATTTCACATCCCGTAAGTACAGTGGTATAACAAGGTACATCTCTAAGTGCAACAATAGCAGTGCTTATTTGGCTCCCTGGGCTGGGAGGAGGGAGCATTCAGTAGGAGTTAAGACTGTTTGGGCCTAGGGCCTTGCATGCCTTTTTAAAGCAAATAGGAGCTTGCAGCTGTCACGTCAGGGTCAGTGCTCTGGCTCCCTGCCCAGTTTCCCCACAAATCCTTCCTAGACCTGATCTTGATTGTAACATCCATCAGTCACACCCTGTGCCACTGGTTCCTCAGCACCTGCTCCCACTTACTCTGCACACCTCTCCAGGGAGGATGGGAAGTTTTTTTTCCCATCCACTTCCCATGTTGTTCCTGACGTGTCCTACAGCTGCTGCTTTTCAACACTGGTCTTGTCCTTTGCTGCGGTCTTTTCCTAGAGTTTTGAGCCCTGTCCCTGATAAGAAGGAGGTATGCAGCGGAGAGGCAGTTGTTTCTTGTTCAGCATGTTCATCAGACAATCCTGAGAAAGGAGCTTCTCTGTAGTTAGCTTCTCTGCTTTTTTGAAGCCTTGCCAAGCCTAAGCAAGTTAGCAATTTTGAATTCTGCAAAGCCTTGTCACTCATTGTATTCTAGAGACTGCATATCTGATGTTGGCTATGCATGCTCTAAAGTAGAGTAGCTGCATTAGTCACTTGTTGCAGATATCCTGCAGTGCAAAATAGAATTTCCTATGAAAAAGTTTTGTTGGTGAGCAGTTTTTTACAGACCTCAGGGGTCTCAAAAGGCATTTTAATATCAACCCTCCAGAATGACCAGTATTCCTGCACTTCACTTCTTATTGGTCAGTAGGCACGGAAAGACGAGCAGCTCCCTGCTGTAACTTATGGTGCTTCCCAAAAAGCACAAGTGAGTCACCCCTCTTTCCCCCTCCCCGCAACAGACATTCACTGTTTGGGAGGGGGGAAATCGTACTTCACTTTGGAGCTGATCCACCCAAGAGAGGCTGCCTGTCTCTTCCCTAGCCCTGCCCCTCCCAGCTCTGGTGCTGTCTTCAGGATAGGGGGTGGGTGGGTTAGGGAAGGGAGGAAGCTCCATCTGGGGTTTGCCCAGCCTGCACTGGACGGAGGTGGGGGGCAGATGGATTGGAACCCGCACTTTGGGGATGGGGGGATCCAATCCTCCTGCCCCCCCCTGCGCAGGCTGGGCAAACCCCAGATGGACCTGCCTATCCCCCTCCCCACTCCACCCCCAATGCTAAAGACAGTGCCGAGGATGTGGCTGGGCTGATGCAGCCCAGCCCTGCTCACGCTGCTGAACAGAAGTTAATGAAGGCGCTGCGCACTTTGGAACACCATCATCTGAACTCTCTTCAAGAGAGGCTTAATTTGTCCCACAATCAGGCACTTTTAAAGTGCTCTGCAACCATGTGCTGCCAGGGTACAGCTAGAAGCTGCCTACCCCTGGCACAGGTCCCCTACCAGCTGGAAGCTGCACCAAGCTGGAGGCCGGAGGGAGAAGCAGCAGCAGTGCAGGCACAGCTTCCAGCTGCCCAGCCCTGCTGCAGCCCCTCACTGCCCAGCCACAGCATGGGCACAGGCACCTCTATCTCTGTGGGGTGGAGTCAGCCACCCCACATCCCCCCCCATCACACACCCAGTGTGCCCAGCTGCCAGACAGGCTGAGACCTGTTGGCAGGAGCTGTGGCTGCAGAGGCAGCTGTCCTCACATCCTGGTTAGCGAGGGGGTCAGGGGAGCTCTGATTTTTCTATGATAAGAAAACCAAAAACAAACATCAAAGCATATAGCCATTTAGAATTTATTTTATTATGATGACAGAGGCACTGGTAGGCTTCCAAACTGATTTAACATTGTAAATATATCAATAAACATTACCCAGCTGATCAATCTCTCTCTCTCTCTAGTGGTCTTTTGTCTTAACTGTGGATTTTGGGGTATTTTAAAGAATGAATTTGGGATTTTGTTTTAATCAAAGAATTTGCAGTTTTTAAAGAGGGAATGCCAGGTTTCCTGCTAGTGAGGCAAGTGACAGGACCCAGGCAGAGGAGCCTGCTCAGGGCTGGCAGCTGGGAGCCAGCTGGAGGGTAAATGAAGTGGCTGAACTCCTGGCCATTTGGGGCCAGGACATGCTTTGACAGTTCAAAGCAGGCCACCACACTGAGAACATCTTCCAGGTGACAGCTGCCCAGATGGCAGGGTGGGGCACACGTGGCAGTAATGCCACACAAAGGCCAGCTGTGCAGCCATAGGCCACTGACAGCTAGCCCAGAGGTGCAGACAGCTCTGCTACAGTGCCCATGCCAGGTGGCATGCAGGTGGCCATGCAGTCTCCATCCAGGTCCGGCAGGTGTGCAGACATGGGCCTGCAGGTCCAAGGGGGCAGATGCTGTCATAGGTGGCTGCAGGTCACAGCCAGGCAGCAACCCCCACTGCCACTGCTGCAGTGGGTAGAGGTCAGAGCTGCTGCAGCAGTCCAGCTGGCACAGGGGGCTAGTGTCCCCATATATCAACTGGCCAGGCCTTAGAAGCTCCTGAGAGCAAGTAGACCCGAGCTGCTCACCAGGGCAGCTTTTTATACTGCTGGGGCTAGCACAGGTGCTGGTCCCAGCCTTCAGCTCCCTCTGGCTGCAGGTTCAGGATGAGCTGGGCAGGGTCAGTTTTCCCCAAGTGGCACAACTTGCCCCACACTGAAGTGTATGTTCCAGCACGCATGCTGAGGCAAAAATCTCTGGCATAAATTTGTGCCACTCCTATTTGAGCTGCTGCAAGCACACATGCCTGCATGTATGGATGTGCTCACTTTGTGCAGGGCCTGACCATGCAGCTTGGAGCATACCCACCAAATTGGTCCCAGAAGCAAGACAGGGAAAGGAATGTCTAGGCCAGGGGTCAGCAACCCCTGGCACACGTGCCGAGCATGGCACGCAAGGTCATTTTGCTTGGCACACCACTGCCAGCCTGGGCTCTAAGCAGCTGCTGCCAGCCACAGAACCCAAGCTGCTCCCAGCAGGAGGCTGCAAGCAAACCAGGCTCCGTGAGCCAGCTGCAGCTGGGAGGCTGCAAACAGCTGCTCCAGGCTCTAGCATGTCAGCACTCCGGCACCTTCCAAGGTAGACAGTGTGGTTTTTTCAGCACTCTGGTCAAAAAACATTGCCTACCCCTGGACTCTAGTCAGTGCAGCCCAAAGAGACTTAGGCATGAGCTTGGTTTCTGCTGTTCAGAACTGCTGAACTGAGGCCCTTCTGGCCAGTATCTTGGCATTTTTACTAGCAAAGGCTTCAGGCATTACAGAGTTTAGGTGCCTTCAATTATCCACATTTTGAATTTAAGTCCCTCAGTTTTAGGTATTTTAAGTAATACCAACTCTTGCAAAACAGTCTCGAGACTCCTGATTTCTCAGGATACAACCTTCAGATCAGCGCTGAACTGGTAAGTGTGTGGGATGGAAAGGGCAGTGGGAGAGGGAAGGGGCAGAGGGGACAGATCAAGGCCACCACAGTAAGGCAGTGGGGCAGGAGAGAATGGGGCTCCCGGGGCTGGGGCAGGTTGTGATAGCCACGTGCAGTTCCATCCAGGGGCATGGCTCCCTGCTGCTGTGCGCGCCACTAGGGGAAATGTGAGGGGCAGGTGCCCCTTGGATTTGTCACTGGGGCAGAGGTGGGCTGCCCACTGCACGCTGGGGCTCTGCACCTTGTTGCCTTTAACCCGGGAGCCACGCACTAGTTGTGCCACGTCCCCTACCTACCTGGCAGCATTACACAGCTCCCGGGGCAAAGGAAGCAGGGCACAGAACCCCAGCCAACCTCTGCCCCAGGGACAATTCCAGGGGGCACCCATCCCCTGGACCTCCCCTGGTGGTGCATGCCTAACTGTGTCTGTCTGTCACTCCCAAGCCACAGCCCCGCCCCCCTAGCCCCACCCCGCCCCCAGCTCTGCCCCTTACTCCTGACCCAGTACCCTGGATCCTGCTAGGGTGTGCGGTGACCGCCCCCCCTCCCTGTGCTCCAAACCCCACACATACTCCCATAGCCCACCCACACCTTCACAAGTAACCCCCCATCACACACATGCTTCAAAAATAGCCCCTCATTATTTATATTCCAAATCTTGCTTTTTAAGAGTTTCTCTCATGATTTTTGACAGGTTGAGGTTGGCAAGACTGCTTACAAAAAGTCATACTGGTTTTAAGGTTCACTCTGTGACATATGTTTTAAGCTTAGGACTCATCTATGCAGCTTAAGTGTCACCTTCAGAAATTTGCTTCTTTTTCTTCTATGGCAGTAGATCACTAGTATTGAACATGTTCTTATACATTTAACTAACAGCCTGTTATTTGGACTACTCCATTTATTTTTAGACTCCTAGAACTGCATTAGATAGCAAACACCACATGAACTATTATACACTCAGGCTTTTACTTCAGACAAAGATTAATATGAATATTTTCCTTCTAGTTGTAGGTCATGTATCTGGGTGTAGCACTGAATTTTGCATAAGACTTGATGACTTTGTTTACGGCTTCCAGGAAGTCTTTCTCCGTTGCAATTTTTCGACGTGCTCTGATGGCAAACATGCCTGCCTCCGTGCAGACACTGCGGATTTCAGCACCTTTCAGAGAGAAGGACACATGGATGTAACACTTCAGGAGGGTTCACTTTCACAGTTAAGAAGCAAAAAGCACACAAGGCCTAGGATTTGCCTTACCTGTGCTGTTAGGACACAATCGAGCCAGCAACTCAAACCTGATGTCTCTTTCCACACTCATCGAACGAGCGTGGATCTTAAATATGTGAGTTCGGCCCTAAAAGAAAAGATATGAGGCAAATGTTAGAAAAGACGTGCTGAAAACTAGGCAGTGTTTTGTGGGAGGTTAATGAAGCAATTTAACTGTTAACAGGAAGGAGACAGACGCTCATTTCCCCTGCACGTTTTCTGGTAAGCAACCATTGTTGATTGACTGGCATATTTGTGCAATACAGAACTAGGAGGTTGTATTATGCAATAAATAAGTTATCTAGAACAGTGGTTCTCAACTTCTTTTGTACCAGGACCAATCTGTAGACATCAATGGCCAGTCCCAACCCAATGTCCTTCACTCCTGACTGGCTGTCCCCCACCCCAGCCTCAGCCACAGAGTGTGTGGGGCATGGGGAGCCCCCAAGCAGCCCCTTGCAGGCTGGAACTCTGACAGCCTGCAAGGGAAGAGCCACAGTTTCCCACATTTTTCTCCTTTAAAGGGGAATCTATGTTTAAAGTTTGTCCATGACCCCCTTTCATATATTCTTGCAACCCACTTTTGGGTCACAACCCATGAGTTGAGAAATGCTTATCTAGAAGAGATACTTTGACAGAAAGGCATTCCAAGAAATGTCCCCTCTTCCTGAAGTGCAATCAAGGCGGGCTGCAGGGCCCCAAAGCTTTAGAAGCAAGTCAAGCAGCTGCTCTCACAGAGGTCCAATTGGAGCCAGGAGCATGCTGCAACAGAGTTATTTTCCAGGGTTTTTCCTGTGAGGATGAAATCTATTTGTTGTAACATGAAATATTTTGGTGTATTTGCACATACTTAAACCCATGGCACTTTCATGTATATTATGCAGTTTCCAAACTATTACATTTATTAGAAGTCTAACCTTCTGCTCTGCCCCCAGGATTTGCTTACTAATGAAAAGACAAGAAGTTCTCACCTCCAGATCAGGTAAGCTAAATTCAATCTTCCTATCCAGTCTCCCCGGCCTCATCAGTGCTGGATCCAAAGTATCAGGTCTGTTAGTTGCCATCAGCACTTTAATATTGCCTCTTGGATCAAATCCATCCAGCTGATTGATCAGCTCCAGCATGGTACGTTGCACTTCATTGTCACCTCCAGCCCCATCATCAAAACGAGCCCCTGGAGAAAGATGACAACTACGTATCAAGACCCATAACAAGCATCTTTGCAGCAGTGATGAGATATCATTGCTGATTGAGAATGCAAAGCTAAGGATCTCTCAACTAAGCAATCACAGCCACATACATATCTGTGACCATCTTTAAAAAAAAAAGTGATTTTTCTTATTTCAAGTGCACTGGCTTCAGACTACACAGAATAGGATTCCCCTGATTGTTTACTAAAACTCTCTCTGCTTATCCCTTGTTTTAAATGGTATGGGTTGCTATGTTCAGGAAGCAAGCTTTTTTCCTCAAATAAAGAAAGCTAAAATCTGTTTATCTTGGAAAAATTCCAATTTCAGGCACTATGAAGAAAAGTTTACATGCAAGATTCTGTGAACATTTTTCTTTTGAAATGTTTACAAAAACTAAGCAGCATGTTGACTATACTATATTTAAAAGACATTCTGCCTGTTAAGTTTAATTACTTAGCATTTTGACTAAAGAGATAAAAATAACTTCAAGTCAGGACTAAATACATTCAAGTTGCATAAACTATTTTCATGATAGTTCCTTGTGCAGTTAACAGCCTCAATTACCTTATAATATTACTTTCCCTAAATATGTACTTATCTGCAGCCTTGATTTTTAGATTGCAATAATCTTGATAACAGGGAATTACACAGAAAGTTTAGTATTTTTAAAAGAAGCTTGCTATATAGAAAACACAATTCAAGGTGTAAACATACCTCCAATGGCATCAATTTCATCAAAGAATATAAGACAAGCTTTCTTAGTTCTGGCCATTTCAAAAAGTTCCCGCACCATTCGAGCCCCCTAAGATTAACAAAAGATTAAAAAAGGGATTAACCATTTGTTATGAACAGGCCAACTCAAGGAAAGCAAACAATAATTTTTCCCAACTGATACTCCATAATGGTCAATATGGGGAGAAAGATTATTGCCCTCTTTTTACAGACAGGGATGTAATTGCACAAAGAGATAAAATTCCCCTGAAATTCCCAGCAAGTCACTCGGAGTTAGGAAAAGAATCCAATTGCCAAGTTCCACATACCCTACAACACGCATCTTAATCTGGAATTACAAGGACCAAGTCATGGGCAGGAGGCTTCAACCGAGAGGTTTAGAACATAGAAGCCAGCTACAATTGTGTTTTAATTACATGATCAAATAGGGAACTTAAAGGTTACCATTCTTTCACACAGGCTACTAACCAGTTATTGAACAATATACTTCTGGCTACTACCCACATGACAAAAAGGTTAAAGCACTATGTGCCATTACTGAGGCTTGCAGTTATCTACCTGTCCTTGTATAGTTTATCTATGGCCACACATTGTCTTTGCTTCAGAGCCCATACATCAAGTGCTGACAAACTGAAGTGGGTAGGGACATGTCTCTCCCAGCTAATGTTTGAGGGTAGAGGAGCAAGCAGGTTATATGGCAAAACCATAGAAAGTTACACTTCTAGTGGATGAATAATCTTCATTTGATGCACTGATACAAAGCTATAGTAGGCTTGAGTCCTTTTTGCTGAAATTTTATATACAATTTGGGGTGGGATTTTCACATCATTCAGCGGTGATCCAACACAAATGTTGAAAGCTTCTGAAATTACAGTCAGCAGTTATTAGTCTATTATTCTGCAATGTCTTTGCTCCTTTTTATGCCCCCTGGAGTCCATAGAGCACAAGTACATCCAGGAACAATGAATGTTAAAATGCGTGGCCTCCATTTGAAACCTGTAGTTAGCTACATATATGTGGTATTTGATCTCACCTCTCCTACATATTTCTGCACCAATTCAGATCCAATCACTCTGATGAAGCAGGCATCGGTCCTGTTAGCAACAGCACGGGCACACAGGGTTTTGCCTGTCCCCGGTGGCCCAAACAGAAGCACTCCTTTAGGGGGCTCAATCCCAAGGTTCACAAACCTCTCAGGCTGCGAAGGGGAAAAAGCAGGAGGTTAGATTCTATCAAAGCCTAATAGATACACTAATAAATAAGGTAAAAATAAATTTCTCAAAGCTATTTTAACTTGTATGCTTTCATTCTGACTTCTCAGTATTGGAAAAGATGCAACAAGCTGTTGGATGAAGAAGCCAGCCTTAGCAAAAACTGCAGCCTGCACCAATGAGTTACTTACATGGAGCAGAGGGGTCTCAACCACCTCCCGCAGTTTTTCAATCTGTTCTTTGCAACCACCAACATCGCTGTAGGTGACATCTGGTTTTTCCTCTACCTGCATAAGAATGATAAGTGAACAGCTGAACAACTTGTAATTTGTTATTGTCCACTGAGACTTACAAATTCTGATAAAGTCAAAACTGCAAGTATAAGAAACTCATAGTAAACAAAAGCAATTCTCACCTGCATCATAGTAACAGTTGGGTCAATCTTTGGAGGTAAGGGGATATGGATCTGATACTTGTTTCTGTCCACACTAGTAGGAAGATACAAAGAGGGTGTTACATTGATTTTAATACTCCCTGAGTCAACATCTCAGCTGTGACCTATAATTCAGAAACCCACAACTCTTGGCAATTGCTTTTTTCCTCCAGATCAGGCAGATCCCATCTTTAAAAAACTACTAGCCAGAGCCAGCCTATTCTGTAGAAAATGCCAATATTTCTATAAAAGGAAGAGAGTTGAGTGGAAAGAACCACACACTTCCATGTTGCACACTTCATGTGTCCCTCAAAATCATCATATTCCTGCAAAACACTTATCTGAACAGGCATTCTCCAATATAAAATTTCTGACCAGCTCTACTACTGACTAAAATTAAATTTCAGTTCCTGCAACAACAGCTTATTGCTCTGCAATGATTACTTTGCTTATTTTTGTTGCCCATAGACCCCAGAGCCCAAAGATTACAGTGAAACAGATGATCTGAAGTACCTTTGGCTGGAACTCTATAGAAAAAGGAGGCTTCAATTTACAACTACACTTTTCAGAACATTAAATCATTTTGTCTTCACTTACCCAACTCTCATTCCCTCTTCAATGTCAGTTGGTGCCACCTGGTCACTGAGATCCACCACAAATTTGGCAAATTGTTTGACATTGATAATATACTTGGGATCCTCAGAGTCCGCATTGATAATCTTCGTACACCTGAAAGATAGATGATTGATTAATGCAGGCCATGAGGTGGATAACTTATGCTTGTGACACCATGAACACCACAGAATCAAGAGGCCTCACATGCACTCCAAGTGCCTTCATAAAACACTTGGCTGCTGAGTTTGCTATGTATATCTTACAGGATAACCAACAGTGCTCCTATCGCTATTCCAAGCATGGCATACTTTTCCTTGTTACATAAAGGTTAACATGTTTGCTCTTCAATACTACAGTACACCCGAGAGCTGATTTACAATTTCCCCAGGTGTCATGTTCTGTGTGTAGAGAAAAGCAGTGCAGAGAGCACTGTGTGCACTAGCTGTCTGCTAATACTGCATTACTATGTAGGACTCACAAGACACCGCACACACCTGGCAACCTGAAGAGGCTGCTCACTTTGGAGAGTCTGCTTATCTGCAGCCAGATCCCAGAGAGCAGGAGGGGCCAGGCCAGTGTCTGACTCCTTGATCCCTACATGGAAGAAAGCAAAGGGAGGACCAAGGGTCAGTTTACCCAAAGCATTATTAATCCTTCACATCCAGATGGCAGTTTAAACAACAAGCACATAACAGAAGACATCACGTGCTGACAGGAAATTTTTAGTTGTACTGGAAATGCAACTGTAGGAATGGGGCAACCTCATCACCAGAAGCAAACTTCTTATGGCCCAGAACACACCAAATGGATCCAGACCATGCCATGACAAGAAATGCAAAACCAGCCAACACCTATCCCCCACTCCCTCCCCAATCACTACATCCCACAACAGAGCCATCAGCTTTCCTGGATCTTACAGCTGTACCTCCAGAAAGATAATACATTTCATCCAATGCACCAAATGCCCTGATGAAAAATATGTAGGAGAGACCAAGCAACAATTGCACACCAGAATGAATGCACACCAGAAATCTATCAAAGACAAGAATACCCAATTACCTGTGGGGGCACATTTCTCACAAAAAACCCACTCTCTCTCCAATTTCTCAGTTCTAATCTTCAAAGGGAACTTAAAAACCCCTTTCCAAAAAAAAGCCTATGAACTTTACTTCATCAACCTTCTGGATACAAGAAATCATGGACTAAATATAGACACTGGATTTATGACACATTATAACCTGCCTGACATCTGACTTCGCAGGTACCTCTCCACTATTTACCTGCTACATTCATCTCCCTTCTCTCTTCCCTCCCTCCCCACCCAGCCTGTTTCTCACTCACTGACTCCTCAGTTTACATCATCACCAACTGCCTTTCTTGCATGCGTGCCAGCCTCTGGCTTCTTTACTATCCATTCCACCCAGGAAGAGCACACACCAACTGCAGAGGCTTCCTCAGCCTGACAAAGGGTTTTTAAACCCAAAAGCTTGCTAAGAATTTTTTTTCCAACTATTTAAGTTGGTCTAATAAAAGATATCAGATTCACCCAAAGAACCTTGTCTGCCTATGTCCTTAGACCAACATGGCTACAACTCACACCGCTCTAACTGTAGGAATGTGGTTCTCAACCTTTTTTAGACCCCAAACATCCCTTGTTAGACTGAAGGCAGACCTCAAAAAATGCCAACCCTTAGTTTTCACTTGCTTTTTTGACTAAAGAAAAATAATAGAAATGTTTTCTGTTGCAAAATAACTCAGAAAAAAAACACAACCAGTCAGAATGTTTTTACTACTGTGAATTCCTATTTGACACCTCTGGGTTTATCTTATGAATCATATTTGTTCACCTGACAATGCTAATGTTGCATGGCACTCTGCAGCACCCTTGAAAGGATCTCACAAGACCCAAGAGAGCCATAGCACCTGGGCTGAGAATTACTGCTGTAGAAGGAAGCAGTTGGATCTACGCCAGTTTGTTTCACAATGTAAAGAAAAGTTCTTTTGTTGTTGTTGTTTAATGAAGTTCTTTATTTTTCCTGGCAGAATTTATTGTCAATTGGAGAACATTTGGAAGGGTATACACCAATGAGGTAAAACTGCATTCCAGAGGAAAAAGATTTATATTTGGACTGCTTTAAAATGTACTTTGTTTTTATTTGCATTTTTTTAAATTCAAAATCCTTATCACTATCTGGAAGAAAAGATGCAAGAACTCGCACCACACACCTGGGACAATCGCAATATCCAACCTAAAAATCAAGGAAGGCAAGTTAAAGTTCATGGTATTTCTAATATTAAAAAAAAAAGCAAGAAGCTGTGTTTATTTGAAAGCTCTTCCAGCTTCTTCATGCTCCTTTAAGTCCAGATAGAACTCATTAGTTAAGCGGGGACTAAGACACTTAAGGAAGACTTTGGAATTCAGGTATAACAAACATATAAAACATAAGTGTATTATTCCGCTTTCGAGGACAATAATTATTAAGGAATTAGAATGAGGATCTTAACAGACAGGAGATCCATAACAAAGAACATTAATTTTTCTACTTCATAGAAAATGCAACTTAATGACAACTTACTAAGATAAATTGTCAGCTCTGTACAAATAACAATGCAGAGAATGCATGAATATAAAAATCATATTAGTTAAGTGTAACCTAGATTTAAAAAAAAAAAAAAAAAGCCTATTTAATGTTACTGATGAAATTATACCAGGCTGTGTTACACCTTATAGTAGTTTATACTAACTATAAACTATAAAAGAATTACTCAACAAGAGAGAGACCATATTCTAGTTTTGAATACAAACCATATGTTGTACTTTCCTTATACATCTAGAACGCCTAACTTTCATAGTTTCATAGTTTCTAGGGTCGGAAGGGACCTGGGCAGATCATCTAGTCCGACCCCCTGCCATGGCAGGAAAGAGTACTGGGGGTCAAATGACCCCAGCAAGATGGTCATCTAACCTCCTCTTAAAAACCCCCAGGGTGGGAGCCTGCACCACCTCACTTGGAAGCTGGTTCCAGACCCTAGCCGCCCTGACCGTGAAGTAGCGCCTCCTGGTGTCCAACTTAAACCTTCCCTCCGCCAGCTTGTGACCGTTATTCCTGGTCACTCCTGGCGGCGCTCAGGGGAACAGGGACTCTGTAACATATAAAAATACTATAAAACACTGCTTACATTTAACTGGAAATTTCAACTTCTATCTAAAAACAGTTTGACACAAGTAGCAAAAAATGTAGTGATATAAGAAGTCTCTTTCACCATTTCTGAACCTAACAAAAGGCAAAAACTAAGAATCTGAACAAACAAATTAAGTCACTTTATCACATATATATCCTTCTGGTTTTCAAAAGTAGTACCAAATTTAGTCTGATGCCTCTATCAGCTTGCAAATCCACAGGTTACTGTGATTCAGCCTTTCTTGGTAAGGAGGAACTAAAACAATAACTAAAACATACTGATTTAAACCAGTGGCTGGCAATGTTTTCCGGCAGTGGACTGAAACAACCCAACTTAGCTCCTAGCTAAGGAAGTGCTAAGATCCTACCCCCACTTCTGCTCACTGCTTGGCTACAGTGTAGGTAAAGCTTCCCCCGTGCTGAACCCTACTTCTATGGGCTGAAGCCAGTGGCTCCACAGGCTGGATCCAGCCTGCAGGCCATAGGTTGCTAACCCCCAATTTAAATTAATCCATTCCTCCTCACAAACACTGACCTTACGTTCCAAGCAGCCTTAAGAAAAAGAAACATACCAGTAAGCTCATTGATTTTCTTGAGTAGTTGCTGAATGTCATCTTCTACCTGCTTGATCTGCCTCGAGTATGTACTCTGGCCCTGAAAAAGAAGAACCAAGCTGTATGATTTTCATTAACGCAAAAACATTTATATAGTTTACGAACACTAAGCAGCCATTAACATTTATCAAGATGTTCTATGTGCAAAAAAACAGCTGACTGATGATGAGTGTCTTTAGGGGGCTTTTTAATGAACTAAACATCACTTGTTGAAACAAAGGGGAGCGCTGCACTGTTACACTTGTGCTAAAGATCCTCCATGAGGAAATCTCTCCTTTCCATCAAAACTTAAAATTTTCAAAACTTCTCCTTAAAGGCAAAAAGAAAAAAAAAAAGAAAAGAAAAAGAGCTAAAGACGTAGGAGAACGAGGGCTCCACGTCCTTGAGTGATCCTTTTCAGTACCGCCAATTTTTATTTGCAAGTCTGATCTATGCTGCTCTTTCAACAACCCACCAATCGGCGCTGGCCATCCACCGAGAAAATTACAAAGCATAAGGCAAGTCCTTCCATCTAGCAGGCTGCTCCCAGCATCCCGGCCTGCATGGCACAGACACGTCTTGGAGCCCGACTTGCTTACACCCAGACCCCTTCGCACCAGCGTGGGAGCACAGGGGGAGTCGAGACGGACAAGCTACCGGTATGTTCAGGCCCTGCCGTACTGTCAGAGCCAACAAGGCAGCCTGACTGGCCTCGCGCCGTGCCTCTCCCGGACGGGGCCAATGCGCAACCAAGTACAGCTACCAGCCCCCTTCACGAGGGGGCGACAAAGGGCACATCTGTGATTGCTTCACACAAAATACAAAACGGGAACAGGAGCAAAGGTCAAAGATTTAAAATGGGTGGGGGGGGGACACTCACGTAGG